ATCTGGGAGTTTTCGGTATGTAAACATGACCTCGTTAGAACGCAGGATTAACCTTTTTACACCGAAGCTTCGCCTAAACAAGTACAAAACTCAATAAAACTTGCCTCATTTACAGAGCTCTTTTTAGAACATGGGTGGAATCTGGGAGTTTTCGGTATGTAAACATGACCTCGTTAGAACGCAGGATTAACCTTTTTACACCGAAGCTTCGCCTAAGCAAGTACAAAACTCAATAAAACTTGCCTCATTTACAGAGCCTTCTTAGGACATGGGTGGAATCTGGGAGTTTTCGGTATGTAAACATGACCTCGTTAGTACGCGGGATTAACCTTTTACGCCGAAGCTTTATGGACCTGGGAGTTCGGAATATAAAACATAACCTCGTTAGAACCTGAAGCTTCACAGCAAGTACTAATTCAATAAACCTTACCTATTTGCAGAAGTTATCTTTAGATATCTGGGAGTTCGGAATGTAAATTAACTTCGTTAGAACGCGAGATTACCTTTTTACGCTGAAGCTTCGCAGCAAGGACAAACTCAATAAACTCACTTATTTGCAGAAGTTTTCTTTAGATATCTCAAAACCTCGTTCTCAGCTTTTTATGCAAAATTATCTCCTAAGCTAAGTATAAAGCTTTACTTTGTTTGTATTTAAGAAAGTTAATTTACCGACCGAAAGAATAAGAAAAAAAAACGTGAACATTTTGACCGACAAAATAAATAAATAATAATAATAATATTTTTTTTTTTATAAAAAAAAAAATAAGCTTTATATTTCACGTAGTAAACCAACCTTTCATGTGACGAGTATGTTGTCCCCGGCAAATTTCGATTTCGGACAATCCAACTTGAAATTTCAAATTTGAGAAATATGATTTTGCTACCAAATCTTGTTCTCTTTTATGCAAAAATATCGTTAAGCTAATCAATATTTAATATATTTTAACAAACAAAAAAAATTCACACTTTGGACTGGGACAACCAACTAAAAAATAAATATTTTTTTTTTTTTTAAAAAAAAAATAAATAAATTTTATATTTCACGTAGGAATTCAATATTTGATTACATCCCAGATATCAAATCATGTTTTAAAGAAAATTTTGCAAGTTTATTAAGTTTTGTGCGATACTCCGGCGTAAAAAGGTTCTTCGAGGTCTTTACATATCGAAAACCCCAGGTTCCAATCATGTCCTGAAGATTTATGAAAATGAGGAGGAACTATTTATCATAACTGAATAAATTGATTATTTTTTGAAGTAACGTGTCAACGAAATTAAAAATTCTGTAATTTTTATGAAATATCGAATTGTATTACGAAAAGATCCTTCTTTTTTAAAAAAAATAAGCCATGTAAGAAAAATGTGATTTCGGGCTCAAAAGTTGAAGGTAAAGGAAATAATAAATCAAGTGAACCTTCGAAGGCAACTAAAACTTTCAAAAAATAATTAATCAATACTTGTTATTATAATATTATATACAAGTTGATGCATAAACGGAATAGATTATTAAAATAACCAATTTTCGGAAATATTATTATAATAATCGTCAACAGTATGCGTTATGCGTTACACTTTTTTTCTAAAAAAAATATTGTATAATGTTTGAGGATAGTGAGAATTAACAAATAATGAAATGTACGAACTTTTCAATAAACATTAATAGAATTACATTTATATATAATTCATTTGCATTCATTTGCATTTTTAGAAATTATAAATTGATCCATTCAAAAGTATGCGAAGAAACAAATGTTAATAATAAGAGCATGCAGTACTTCAATCAAAACTTCATTAATCGTATTTACAATAATTTTCTATTTTTTCATTAAAATGGAGATGAATGAGATTCATTTTTTGTTTATGAATTGATATAATATTTTGATTTTATTAACTTGAAAAATACATATGTTATCATATACGATTCCATATTAGCAAATCTATAAGATTCAAAAATATATATGAGAAAAGGGTGTCAGATATAAAATGGTTCACGGTCTGTTTTACATCACCGATGGTTCATTTTTTAACACAAGATCTATCTGAAAGCGTTGACTTTATTTCCGTGTTAAATCTTCGTTCTTTAGTTATCATTCTTTTTTTCTAATTAATCAATTTTTCGCATAATGATAAATTACTTTTACTATTGTTATATTTTGTCATAACATCAAGAATCTATCATGTATATTTTAGAGTTATATAAAATATATTTACACTCTCAAAATCTCTCTAAAACTTGTTTTTAAAAACTAAAAAATATCACACTTCCCGACATTAACATTCTTCCGTATCCATACTCAAACAAAACAGATCTGACTCATAAACAAAATGAAGAAAAAATTTAACCTTTTAGCCACATCAGGTATAACATGTTTTGTCTTATATTTGAATATTTTGTTTTTGTATATTAATTAAAGGAACAAACATACTAAAATGATTCTAGAAGAATCGTTTCAAGAATCATCTATAAGTATATTTGACGTTGAATATAACGACTCGGTTTGTAATGATACAATTGTTATAGCTAAGAAGTTTCGCCTGATCGAGTACAAAATATTCTTGGTGAACTTGGCTTTGATAAAAATGATGGAGTGAACCTATAAAAGTCATTTTGGGTTTCTTTTGTTATAGCCTTGTTGCCATTATTCAAAGTTTCCTATTTCAACACATTAATCCTTATCCGGAACTTGGAAAGTATTTACAGTATTGCAAACTTTGTGCAAAATAAATACAATTAGTAAATAAAATCACGTTACAGATCATATGATTTACTATGTTCGTAACTCGATTTAAATAGCAAATAAACCTTTCATATTTATGCATGATGTCAAATTGGACATAGTTTAATTAGATAAATGTTCAACACTCAACACTCAACGTGATTAATAAGTTGAGACAAGTAATGCAACTCTTCAAATGAGTTTATGATTGGAAGAAATCAGGCTTCCATGTTAAAATGTAATACAAAAATATTATTTAAATTCCCGTTCATTTTCTATCTTTTAATAAAATAGACATATTTATTAAACTTAAAACAATTGAACGGCAGACGTTTTATTATTGGATACCTTTTTTTTTGAGAAAGTCGTAAGAATGAAAATTATTTATATATGATAAATAAATGAAATAATATAATATCTGAATCAATCATGATAATTACTTAAACATATTTAAGATAAGTAATTTATTTTGTATTTCTATAATACAGAAACTTTATATTAAAATGATTATCTATTAAGCATGAATCCTATCTTTCTCAAAATATCATTAAGAAAGTTAACAAAGTATTTTATTTGTATTTTATAAAATATTTCAAATTTTTTATTTTCAAATTCAAAAATTTTAAAAATTTGTTCAAAGAAAATCTGAAAAAATATAAATTTGTTTCAAGATTTCATTTTATTATGTATTCCTAAATTTCAACTTTTTCTATTTATAAATCATCTCTTTTAATAATTGAAATTAAGGTCTTATTAGAAAGTAAAGTAAAGCCAAGTGATTTTAAATACCTTTCAGATAATTTAGTAATAAGTTCTATATAAAATGTTAAAATCCAAATAAAGAATTAGATTAAAAATTTTTTTAATTAATTCATTTAAAAAATTGTATATTCAACTTTATTTTTAATTAAATATTATAAATAATTAACTAGTTCTTAAAGAAAAAGCTTATTAGTTGTAATCAAAACTTTAAAATATCTAAAGTTTCATATTTATCTAATATAATAATTTCTTTATAATATATCTACAGACCCCCGCTAAAAGTCTCTGAACGCCATCTTTCAGGGGCTATTTCATACCGATTACGTCGCGTGACTGCATAATACTTCGGTCATG